CCCCCCCTCATTTCGTACTGCGCCCGCCCTTGCCGTAGTAAGAAATTCGGTCCGTACTTGGGGGCGCCCACCCACAACGCGCACATAGTGAACTGGGGGGCCCGCGGCGGAGGTGCGACCACCGTCCTGTTTTACATTCAATTTTTATTACCTTTTCCTATACGACCTTCCTGCCAGACCCACGCTGCCACTGGCCGCCGCACCCCGCGCCCCACCCCGGCCGACTTGGAGGCGGCTCAAGAGGCGGTGTCGCATACGTACGTGCCCTCGAACATAATGCAATGCGGGTGATCGGCTGGCCTGGTGCCTTTGCGCGGGTGGCCTTGTCCAGCAGCCCGAGGGAGGGACATGGGCGCTCTTGGCACCCAGCCGCTGCTGGCCCGCGACGCTCGGCTGCCATGGGCTTCGTTAAGGCAGTCGGAGCACTTGTTATCCATCAAAAATTAATCGATAACTTTGCCGTTTGTGTAAATTTTTGGGGAAATGTTGAATAAACCCTACTTGGGTCTGATTAAAAGTCCCAGGGGAAAGGCGAAAGGCATCGTCACTCCCATGCCGTTTGCTGTTCGGCACCTAATTACATTGTTTGTTTACTATATTCTATATCGTATTATCAAGCCTGTCCGCGGGGGACCACCTATGAACTCTTCTCAAGAGTTTCCCCCGCGCCTCCCACCCAGGGAGTTTTTGCCTCAGTGAAGAGGTTTGTTTGTGGGCCCTGTGAGGCTGCTAGGGGCGGACCGAGGAGGGGGGGCAAGCAAGGGGTTCCCTAGGCAAGGTGGCGACTGTGTAGTGTTGTTGGTGTTGTAACATGGCTCTGTGCGTGTGTCTGTGTGTTCTGGAGGGAGTGTGGCGTTGATAGTAAAAGAGGGGAGAAGGGAAAGGGGGCACAACTTATATGACTGTGGGATCACTTGAGTCTGTATGGCCTGCCCGATGAACGCCGCACACACATACACACACACTCACGCACCCTCTCACGCTCGCAAAGCGACTAAGTGGACAGTCCACTGTTTAACTACTATTGCTCCACGGGATCACTCCGCGGTTTCTCGCGCGGTACACTAAATGCAGGAGAGCGAGTGAAGGAAGCGGAAGAGAAATGTTTGAGAGTGGAAGAGAGAGGGAGAAGGCTACAGACCAGGACAAAGCCGAGGAGTGGGCGTGAGAAATGAGTTGTGCTGGCGGGGCATGGCGCGGCGTGGTGGGGTGGGGCGTGGCGGGGCG